TGTAAGGTTATGCATTTAGGGATTAATAACAAGAATTTTAGTTATAAGCTGGGGACACATCAGTTGGAAGTAACGGAGGAGAAGGACCTCGGAGTCCTGGTTGATCTCAGGATGACTACGAGCCGCCATTGTGACATGGCTGTGAAAAAGGCTAATGCGGTCTTGGGATGCATTAGATGTATTTCCAGTAGGGATAAGGAGGTGTTAGTGCCATTATACAAGGCATTGGTGAGACCTCATTTGGAATACTATGTGCTGTTTTGGTCTCCCATGTTTTAAAAGGATGAATTCAAACTGGAACAGGTACAAAGAAGGGCCACTAGGATGATCCGAGGAATGGAAAACCTGTCTTATGAAAGGAGACTCAAGGAGCTTGGCTTGTTTACCTTAACCAAAAGAAGGCGGAGGGGAGATATGATTGCTCTCTTTAAATATATTAGAGGGATAAATGCCAGGGAGGGAGAGGAATTATTTAAGCTCAATACCAATGTGGACACAAGAACAAATGGATATAAGCTGGCTATTAGGAAGTTTAGACTCGAAATTAGGCGAAGGTTTCTAACCATCAGAGGAGTGAAGTTCTGGAACAGCCTTCCACGGGAAGTAGTGGGGGCAAAAGACCTATCTGGCTTAAAGATAAAGCTAGATGGTTTTATGAAGGGGATGGTTTGATGAGGTAACATGATCTTGGCAATAATTGACTTTTCACTATCAGTGGTAAATAGGCCAATGGTGGGAAGATAGGAGTTGCTATAGAGCTTTTTTCTGGGTGTATGGCTCGTGAGTCTTGCCCACATGCTCAGGGTTCAGCTGATCGCCATATTTGGGGTCGGGAAGGAATTTTCCTCCAGGGTAGATTGGCAGAGGCCCTAGAGGTTTTTCACCTTCCTCTGTAGCATGGGGCATGGGTCACTAGCGGGAGGATTCTCTGCATCTTGGGGTCTTTGAACCATCGTTTCAAGGACTTCAATATCTGAGATAGGTGAGAGGATTATTCTAGCAGTGGGTGGGTGGGTGAGATTCTGTGGCCTGCATTGTGCAGGGGGTCAGACTAGATGATCAAAATGGTCCCTTCTGACCTTAAAGTCTGAGTCTATGAACAATGAGAATAAAACAAAATATTGAATATAGGTGCTCATTAAGTGAATACAATCTGGTGCACTGAGTAAGTCTCAGGTCCTGTGAGGGAAAATAGTATGTGATCGTGTAATTAAAGATTGTATCCTCATTGTATAAATGCACCGAGGGCCATGTTAAAGTTACACAGGCAATCTTAATTCTGGCATTTCCTAACATATGAATGCTTGACCATGCAAACTTAACATTGTTTTTTTAATGTAATATAAGTAGAGATTAGTAAAATTGACTTGGCAAACTCATTTTTAAAACACAAGACACAATAGATGTTTTCTAGAATGATCTTGATCAGTTAAAACAATAAACTTACGGATGCAGTTAGGTTTACTTTTATAGCTAATTTTTATTGTAATTGTAGTATTTTTGAGTTACCAATAATGCTAAAAGTGGGATTGTTTAAAATTAAAACATTCTGAAGTGGTAGAAGTTTAAACACAATATTCAGACAATTAAAAATAGAAGTAAGCTGCATGGAATTAATTTTGTTTGTGGTTTGTGATGTCAACAAAGCTCTGTTTTTCATTATTCTTTTTGGCTGGGAGTTGATTCATATCTCACACCAGGCCAAACTTTGTTATGTACAGTCTTTTCTACATGTGCTAGCATAACTGCCATAAATCTTGTGTAGAGTCACATGCACGCTGAAAAGTTCTGCTTTATTCCTGCTAATGTAAGTGAAAGTGAATTGCATTAACAATAGTCCTTTCATGCATAAAGATTTCAAAATAACTCAATCCATAGAGGAGAATCATTTCACCAGTTGCTGCAGTACAGCCACCTTGGGGGTGAAATGTTTCAGCTGTTTAACAGCACATAGCAGTTTAGAAAAGAATCATGTCCAAATGAAACTGTAGGGAGACTTTAAGGGTATGTCTAGACTACATGCCTCTGACAGAGGCATGTAAATTAGACTACCCGACATAGTCAATGAAGCAGGGATTTAAATATCCTCAGCTTCATTAAAATAAAAATGGCCCCCGCGCTGTGCCGGCTCAGCTGATTGTCGGCACAGTGCGCGAGTCAAGATGCGGATCAGTCAACGGGAAGCCTTTGTTGACCGCTCCTGTAAATCTCGTTCCACGAGGCATAAGGGAGCGGTCAACAAAGGCGTCCCCTGTTGACCAATCCGTGTCTCAACTCACGCGCTGTGCCAACGATCAGCTGAGCCGGCACAGCGCGGTGGCCATTTTTATTTTAATGAAGCCAGGGATATTTAAATCCCTGCTTCATTGACTATGTCGGGTAGTCTAATTTACATGCCTCTGTTAGCAAAGAGACAGACTATAGGTTGGAATTTGGCCAGAACAATTTATTCTATTTAATAAAGAGCTTATGAAATAATCATTAGTTTTTATAGTGCTTTTTATCTATAAATCTCAAGTCTTTTATGAGAGAGGTAAAAATCATTCTCCCCATTTTACAGATAGAGAAATGGATGCACAGGAAGATGAAGTGACTTGCCCGGTGTCACCCTGTAGGTCAGTGGCCTACTTGGAAATAGAGCCCTGTTCTTGTGAGTTGCAATCCAGTGGTCTGTTCTCTGCTTCTGTGTACCAGTATGGGGCCAAAAATTTTGCATTTAATCATAAAGCCAGCATCTCAAGTAGCTAATATTGTACTCATGCACTGGTTCAGTACTATCTGTGAGGGAAGAATATCACCTATTGAATTGTAACTTAGGGATGTAAAATTCTGGTTAATCAGTTAACCTAACAATTACCCAGTTTAACCTAATGTTTAACCGGTTAACCGACTAAGCAGTGTCTGGACAGGGGACTGCTCCAGCTTGGCTGGAGCGGCTCCCAGGCCTGCACTGGGGCTAACTGATGACTCCCAGCCCCCATTAGAACAGCCTCATTTTTGCTTCCTAACCTACAGTTTGAGAACCACTGGGGTAGTGCATATGCTAATCAAACTTTATTTTTAAAGGATCACAAACTTTGAGGTGTTCCTCAGACATTTAAAAAAAATTATTGTTAAGGAAAAAATAGATCTTACCATGCTAGAAAGGTGGTTTTTTTTTCTCAACTAACTACACAATTAGGAATGATACTGATAATAAATAGCTGACATTTTTCTCTAACCTTTAAAAATCACTTCTTGGAACAGAACAGAGTTCCAAAGTAGAATTATTCAGAAAGTTGTGAGCCTGGACAAATACCATTATATGAAAGACTCAAAATTAAACTCACCTACCAGTGAAAATTATAGTGAATTTAAAGCACTACAAATCTTTAATTACAAAATAAATCATTTTTGGTGATTTCTTACTACATATTTTAGAAATGTGCGTCTGTCCATCCATCTGAGTCCATTTGTTCAAGAACTCCTAAACAGGAAGAGCTAGGACCACCAAATTTGATATGCAACTTCCTCTTGTCCTGACTTAAAGCAGCAAGGTCAGTGTTTGGTTGTGCCAAGGAAACAGGAAGTGCTGTGAATGGGACTATTTTTCATAACATGGAAAGGCAGAGGGCAGAAAGAGGAGAGACATGATACTGAGTGGTTAGTGGGGGCAGTCACATCACCAAGAGTGTTGCCAGCAGGGCTAGGACTCCACAATCGTGCCTGCCACCAGACTGGATAAATAGCCCCTATGCTCCAAACCCTTTTCCCCCAACCTGGCTCTTGGCTGCAACCTGGCGTTTGGGTGGGGGGGGGACAGAGGGGAGAAAAGGCCCCTGACAGCCAGAAGGGCGAGACAGAAGACCTGGAGGAGGGGGATGGACTGGGAGAGAGAGAAAAGGCTCCATTAGATTAAATCTCCCTACCCTGAGATCTCATTCCCCCCTCCCCCATTCTCACTCTTGCGCACCCCTCCCCCCAAAACCTCCAGCTTGTGGCTTGTCCCTGATTCCTGCACTGCCTCACACACTGCCAGCCACTTGCTTTAAAGTACCCTGGCAACACTGGGTAAATCTAGTTCTCTCTCTCTCTCTCATTGGGTGGGCAATAAAAAACGGCAGCCCGCAGGGTTAGTCCTTGGCGGGCTGCTGCCACGGTTACCTGTGCCTCCACAGGTTTTGGAGGATCACCGCTCTAGTTGGCCACGAATCACTGTGTCCAATTTGAGCAACGGGAAGCATCATGAACCAGGATGCCACTTCCCACTGCTCATATTGGCCACAAATGGCAATTTGCAGTCAACAAGAGCTGTGATTCTCCAATAACCTACAGAGGCACAGGTAAACATGGAAGTAGGGGCCCACCAGGGACTAGCAGCCCAGATCCGGCCTATGGGCCGGAATTGCCCACCCTGATGGATTGTATGAAAGCAGCTATTTAAAATGTTGTTTAATACAATCTGAGTGCTGTTACTGACTGCAGTATTTTTTTTACTTTAGAAGAAATACCATCGTACAGTTTCTGTAACACACATACAATACAGTACTATCTCAAACAGCTAGGGACAGATTGTAACAGAAATGTTCTTGGATACCAAAAGCATCTCTTCAGCAACTAATTGTGATCACAGAAGCAAGCAATTTAAACTTCAGTAAGAATATGCAGCAAAAGCAGGTGAAGTCTTAAAGGAGGTCTTGTTTTCATGCAATTGATGCTAGCAATAGACTAAACATTTCAGATCTTCAGCAATTTTTAAAATGTTTAAAACATACTTTTTTTCTGATAGTTTGTATGGTTGTATTTCACTAAAAAGATGTGATGGCCTCCTTATTGTGTGACCTATCCATTAACAAAAAGCTTGTTTTTTAGACTGGTTTCGACTTCCAGATGGATTACACAAGCTCAGTAGGACTCCGCCCTACATCCTGTACCAAGAAGCAATTCACAGGACTCTCCATTGTTCTTTGATTACTTTGTGCTTTCTACATTCATTTTG